AAGGCAGGGAAATGTCTGCTTCTGACAGAGGTTCAAAGACCACTCAATGGACTGCCTGACTGCTCTCTCAATGAATCCAGATTTGATCAGCCCTTAGGAGAAGAGAGGGGAGTCACCCCATCAACAGCAGCTTGGCCACCAGGCTCCAGGACTAGCACACTCATCGAGTCTGGTAGGACTGTGGATGTTGACCTTGGCTGTGCATTCCAACTTGGTCATAATCTACTAAGACAATGAAAAGTCTGCCCTGAGAAACCTAGAATTGAAAGAAGGAAGCTCTAAGGTCTCAAAAATTTTAGTTCTAGTCTTCAGTCTTACCATCAAAATTTATTGTAGCCTGACTATAGACTAAGATCTCTGAAAGTATTGACTCCTACTTGCCATTAACACTATTTGTGTTAGGTCATCTAGAGAGCTCCTTGGAGACAAAAATAAATCTGGAGAGATGAACTATTCCAAACTCACCAATGATCCAAGGTTAGCACCTCAGGGGTAGTTGAGGTAATGGCTTGTCTGGAAGGTCCTATTAAGGACTGAAAGAACAGAAATGGACTTGATTTATGAACCAAGAAAAGTGTGACATTGAATCCATACAGCAGAGAGATTGAGATGCCAAAGGATCTGGCATCTGGTTTTTGTCTGTGGAATATCTTTCTTGCCCTGTGCAGTGTGAGGCTTGGCAGGCAGGGAGGGTTGAGGTACAGCCATCTTCTCCCTCTTACTTCTTATACACACAAGCTTTCTCCAGCTCATGCGTTACCATGAACTGCCACTGCTCAAGGCACCCAGGGTAGGACCAAGCAGGCTCCCTGTGTCCTATTCTAGTCCTGTTTCCCAGGCTGAGATAAAGCCTTTGGCTGCCAGCTTCACCACTTTCTTATCTGTTTTCCAACACTTTCCACTATATAATAAATTGACATCTGGATATGTCAGAAAGATGGTTCCGGAGACTTTTCAGTGTAAGTTGAGAATTCAGAGACTAATTGTGCAATTTTCTGCACGGGAGCATGACATGTGAAAGTATTAGAAGTAAAATGACATTAAAGAAGTAAACAACATTAAAAATTAATCAAAGGATGGACAGGAAATAATGTTGAAAGGTGTTGAGCAATCAGAGACAGAAAAGAGGGGGGAGAAAGAGAGAGAGAGAGAGAGAGAGAGAGAGAGATATTGAGACTGACTGATTTTGTCACAAGCCCTCTGTGGGCTATGTGTGGACTGTTGAGCATAGTAGCCTCCTGAGGCTAAGTCTGGCACTGGGAACTCCCTGGGGCACTCCCCACAGGGATTGACAGCCTGATGCTGGTGAACTTCCACTGCAAACTCTGCCTAAGATCCCACACAGAACCTGAGAAGGGTGTGACCTGCCAAGATGTCAATCAACCTGCTGGATTCAAGACATCACAAAGCAAGACTCTGCCCTTGGAACCTTACCCCTACCTTTGATGTACCCCCTTAAATAAACTATGGGAGCCATTTTGTCTTTGTCTAGTTCAAGAACCCATGTGGACAAAATCTATCAGAGGCTTCACTTTTGTAAATATATTTCTGAGTGTTTGTGTTTTGTTTTTTGTTAATTATTGTTAGAGTCTGTAAACAAGTCAAAATAACACCTGGCATTTTGCCAGGGGAATGTTAGAGTTCCTAAACAAGTCTGGATGGTGCGTGGCAAAATGCCAGAGGGAGTGGTTTGAGAAGTAACAAAAGCTAGCCATTAAGTGTGGAGATTCCTGATTGGTTGACTACTGTATGGAGTTTATGCTAATTAGATAAGCTGTGTGGAATGTATAAATACTGCTCCTGTCCTGCAATAAATGGCTTCCACTCCTGCTGTATCAACGTACACAAGTTGTTCATCACCCCCCGGTTATTTTGCTGCAGCTGGACTGCGACAAATTATTTGAGATATTAAGATTTAGGGTGGCTTAATTATTTGAGATGGTGAGACTTAGGGTGGCTATTGAAGGTGGCTTGGATTCCTCTGGGCAGAAAAACCCACTAATGAAATGCTGGCAGTCTTCCCCATGGGGGGTGAGGAGAGTGACTGGGAGGGAGAGAACAATGGGGGAGGGGGAAAGGAAGCCCTCAAGATGAATATAACTTTGAGTATCCTAGCCTCCCTCCTCTCATCTGGAGAGAAGAACTCTTAAGTTTGGGTCTCTGATATAAGCTAAGGTTTGAGTGATCCCTCCCTCCCTCCAAGCCCTTTTCTGCTAGCTCAGCAATTTACAGGCAATTTCTGATCATCCTCTTAAGGAACAATATTATTCAGACTTCTTTAAACTTCCCAGAGTCTTTCCCAATGGATTCTTCCACAGGCTGTCAGCTGGCTATTTCTGCATTCCCTAAAAACTCTTTAATTTGCCCTTGCTGTGTCTTAGTCCTGAATCAAGGTGGAGTAAGTCTTCTAAGTCATTATTCAAAGAGACAGAATTTTATCTGGCATTAAGTGCACACTGAAATCCCAGTGGTTCAGGAAATTAAGGAAGGAAGAAATGGCAAGTTCAAGGCCAGCTTCTGCAACTTAATGAAGCCCTAAGCAACTTGGCAAGTTTTACATTGTTTCAAAATAAAAAGGGATGGGTTTGTGGCTCAGTGGTAAAGTGTCCTGATTTCAATCCCTCCTTCCAAAAAAATAATTTTCTCTCTACTATAAAGTCATGCTGGGTAATATACTAGGAGTAAAATTGTAAAACTAGCCACTTAGATTTTTCCTGATTTCCCTCCAGGTGTGCTCTCCTGGCTCCTAGCATCACATAGGATACAGAGAAACTGAAGGGCCAGGAGACTCTGGAAGGCTGATCAGGCTGGAGAGAAGTGAAACATTCTGACCCTTTTTCCCCCACACCTGTCCTTTGCCCAAAGAGGACACTACCTGCCTGGGGCTAGGAGTCTTTTCCTTCTCTGAGATAAAAAGTTAAGGAAATGGACTCTTCCAATATTGGGTCACTTCCTCCCAGGAGAACAGCCTATTTTAGCTCTATGTAAAAAAGGACTTGCCAATTAGCAGAATTCTGCATAGAACAGAAGCTTAATTGCCAGACTTGGACTCTTTCTCTGTCCATCTTGGCCTGTAGGCTTCTGTCTTCTTCTGTCAATATTTTAATCGCTTCCACAGTAAAACAAATCATGCTTTCTCTTTGTTTATTTGTGTCACAACTACTCTTATATCACTGTAATAACTACAGGCTTTTATTTCCAAAAATATTAACCAGGAGGAACTAAAACTTCTCTTGGAGGTTTCTGGAAAACCTAGAACTTTCGTTCAACCATTGCTTTCAGTTGGTGGCTGCATACAATTTCAGAGAAAGTTTACAGCTGGAAACTCTAATAGAACACAAACACACACAAAAAAAGATATATACACAGGCAGGTTAATGAGAAATGAAGGAGGACATCACAGTCGTTTTGTTTGTTTGTTTGTTTGTTTTGGTACCAGAGATTGAACCCAGGGCTACTTAAACCCTGAGTCACATCCAGGATCGTTTTCTTTTTGATTTTGAGGCAGTGTTTCCCTAGGTTGGTTAAGGCCTAGCTAGGTCGCTTACGTCAGCTTTTAACTTGCCATCCTCCTATCTAGCCTGGAGAGCCTCTGGGACTACAGGCACACACCACCACTCCAGGGACAAAGGAGATTTCTGAACCAGAGAGGGAGGAAACTATTGTGGTTTGAGAGTCACATGACAGGATCCATGGAAGTATGGAGCAAGGAGGAGTGTCACAGCAATCACAAATGAAGTGTTTCAAACACATGTATATATACATATATATTATGCTAATATTTTTAATTATATATTGCATAGTATATGATATATTATTCATAGACACATATGTGTAGGTGCGTGCACACACACAGGCACAAACAAGAATGAAAACTGTGATCTGCAGCATGCATGGAACTGGAGATCATCATGTAAAGTGAAATGAGCTGGACAGGAAGACAAGTGCCACAGGATCTCACTCACGTGTGAAATAGGGAGAAGATTATCTCATAGGAGTTGAGAGTGGAATGGTGCTTACCAGAGGCCACAGAGAGGAGAAGGTGGAAAGATGGGAAAGGCTGATCAATGGTTCCCCAATACAGGTGGGAAGGGGCAAGGAGCTAGTGGGCCATTGCAGGATGTGGTGACTGTTGAGAGCATGAACCTCCTGTTCATTTGAAAAAGCTGGAGGCAGGGACCTTGATTTGTTCACAAGAGAGACAGGATAAATGTTCAAGGAGATGATCATGTTTAACTTGATTTAAACTTTGCACCAAACATAATACGGTACCCCACTAATATGCACCACCTCCCAGACCCAGATATGTCAGCTGTTGTGTGTATTAAAAGCATCACTGCAGAGGAAAATAGATGGAATTGGCATAATTAGTGAGAGATGAATAATATTTAAGTGGTAACCCCATGGGAGTTGGAGGAGAGATGAGTAAGAGAAATCCCATTATCTTTCCCTTTATATGGGGTGAGATTTCATAATATCCAGATTTTGTTGATTTTTTTAAATCTCAACTTGTCGGAAAGTATCACAACTAAGTTGATGGGAAAATGCAAATATAATGATGTGCATGAAAGGAGCGTAACAAAGAAATCAGCATTTAGAACTAAAATTTCAATTTTGCTGCTTAACACAAAAATGGGAGAGAATGAAAAGAAATATTTACCTAACCTCCCATCCTCCTGCAAGATTGAAAGAATTTAAAAAATTGAAGAAGGAATTAATGAAGAACAAAAATCAATTGATTAAATATAAAGAAATGATTGGTTTTATTAATCATATTGTAAAGGTATACATAGTATATTATAGATTAAATAAATAAAATTTCATAAATAGTTAAATAAATAACATTTAAATATATAAATAGATAACATCTGCAAGGATGTAAGGGTCTAGTGCCTATAGATTTGACAAATTGGTTGAATTCTTCTCTGAATTACTGCAACAAATAACAGTCTTTGAAATGGCAGAACTTGTGGGAGTGTGGTAAGTTGTGTTCATCAGTGAGAAGCATTTCCCTGCTGGACCAGGTCTCATTCCATGCTCCTTAGTCTTTCATACAAATTCACTGATAAAGAGAAGGATTTCATGATTTCTGTTCTGACCACCTCCCAGGCACAAGGCAGGTATTTCTTCTCCTTCAGGTAGACGGTGATCCTGTGGAAGTATTTCCTCACAGCCTCTTCCACCCCCACCTGCTTGGACCCACAGGCTTTCAGGTCATCCAGCAGCTGATAGAGGCCACTGAGGAAGGTGTCCAGGAGGGTCTTGTCCCAAGCAGCAAAGGCCTTCTGGGTGCTGAAGAGGTTGAGGATCTGCTGGGTCATCTGGTGGAGGACAGCAACAGCTTGAGCCTTCTGCACCTGCTCACCCTCCAGCTGCTCCTGGGGGAAGGCAAAGTCTTTCCTGTAGTTCAGGCAGGAGAAAATGGGAATTCTCCTCATTTTTTCCAGGAGTGTCAGGGCTCCCTCCTCATTTTCCTCAGAAGTTTCAAGACCCAGGTTGTGTATCTGAGGCAGGTCACAGCCCAGAGAGCAAGTGTTCTTGCAGCTGAGCACCACCAGGGCCAGCAGGAAAGCCAAGGGCAAGGCCATTGGGGATCTTGCAGATGCTGCTGGGCTGCTTGAGATGGGTGGTCTTGCACCTTTGCCTCTAGGTTCTCTGAAGCCCTTGACTTGTTCCTATGTCTTAAATAGGAACCAATATGATTTCCGTTTTCTGAATGTCATCCCCAGAACATTCTACTTCTGTTTTTGCTTTCCATTATGCTTTTGCAACATGTGTTTAGCGGAGTGTTTTCAATTCTTGTTTCATTATTGGTTACCTGTCCACTGCTCTCAGACCACATTTTAGTATTATATTCTGAACTGAAATTTCTATTAATTTCTTAATTTTGGTGTGGGGAGTTACTGGGGATACACTGGAATTAAAGGTGTGCACAACCACACTCAGCCTCTCCTGTAGTTCAGGCAGGAGAAAATGGGAATTCTAATAAATTTTAATTTTAATAACAGATATACTACTTACGTATTTATATACCCACTGGATATAACTAGTTTATAAGTTAAGTTAAAATGTTGAATTTAAACTTTATATTCAATACAGAGTTTCAAATGTCTTTTAAAAATTCAGCTAAAAGTTAAGCTGAAAAGCTATTGACATTGAACTTAATTTTCCAAATAAATACTGAGTGTCTTTAATAAAACTAACTTACAGAAATTGTATGTATCAAGTTCATGTGCAAATAAAAATTTTATAGAAATATAATAATAGCAACATAATGAAATACTTAAAAATCAGTTAAGTGCTACAAGCTATAAAAATTGTTTTCTTAACATTTAGTTCTGATGTACTTTGCTTTACCTTCAATGAGAAAATTATTGAATTTGCACTTTGCTAGATATAATTTAGACAATTTTTATTGCCTACTCTTCAGTTCACTACATAATTATTTATTTGTTGATTAACATTAATTGAATTAAATAATGTTATAAAACTTTGTATTTAATTCTCAAAGCCCACAACACATTGGTAAGAATTGAGTTTCAAACATAAAAAGCATATATATGGAAGACATTGACAGCCCATCCCTACAGGGAGGCCATCTGTCAAGATGTAACCTGGAGATCAAGCCATCCAGGAATGTCCTCCAATCCCAGTCATCTATTTGCCACAGGACTGGAGCACTAATCTTGCACACACTTTTCTTATCTCCATGATCTCAGCATGCATGCTTTTCATATCATATAAAGGAAAGCCTAGTGACTTCTTTTCCCACTGCTGGGGATCAAAGCCAGAGCCCTACTGAGGCTAGGAAAGTACTCTATCAGATAGCAACATCTCCAGTCTAGAAAACCCAATGATAAAGATACTAAGATATAAGCTTTTTCAAATAGGGCAGACCTTTGTGCACCACAAACCTTTATAATAACTAAGATTTATTCATACCTTAAAGGAGTAATTTTAACACTTTTATGACCAATATCATGACAATGAGAAAACAAATTTGAGAAAAAGTCATCAATTTTATTTATTTTTTCATTTAGTTAACAACTTTTTCAAGAATTTGCAGAGGTCCAATCCTAATAGAGTCTTATAAAATTGAAGGAAAGCAATTTTTTCTAAATGCCAATACTGGAATCTAAAGATATACTGGTCAATGGCCTTTGTAATTGTTCTATATAGCACACAAGGCACAATGTATTTTTCTGTCATGCAAGGCACAAGGTATTTTTCTTTCTCATTTTCTTTTAACAGAAAACCAAAGTTCTCATGTTTTGTATCCCATTGATTGGGAACAGAAAATGAATATAAATGTGTGTCTGAATGTGATAAAAATATAAGGAATGCTCTACCCCGCTGGGGTGAAAAATACCAAAAATAACAACTACATTCATCTTAGCAGAGATAAAAATTATGGGATGGGAGAGAGGAGAGGTGAGATAGACAAAAGACTATAAAGTATCAAGCAAGTGTGGGCCAAAAGTAGAGTCACTAATCCCTGATCCAGGGCTTGTTTTAAGCTTTGATGAATCCAGGCTTCAAAGAGTCAGGAAGCACAAGACAACTAAATCACAAGTTCATATGCAATAAACTTGTGAAATCTGTTTTCCTCTGGATAATGGATAAGTGTTAGATGCACCATGTGCTCCCCTAGGAAAAAAATTCAAAGATAATATTCTTCCTGTCATTTTTTTGACAAGAAGCAAAAATTGATGCTTTCAAAATTTATTTCCCCCAAGATAATGCAGTTAAATAATATAGATTATGTTAATGAAAAGAAATATCTAAGTTGTGTAAAGTGTTTGTTGTGAGTCAGACACCAAGAATTTGCAAAATTTATCCTTATCTTATTAATAGCAATACTTTTGCTTTTCATACATGTCAAACATGTACCATATGCTCAGCCCATGGAATTACTAGAGACACAAGTGACCAAAACAGTGAGAGCTTCTACTGTTGTTACCATTTACAAAAGAAAAATGAAAGCACAGGTGGTTCATGAATAGGTGAAGCCCATGTTGGAACCCAATGTACACTTTTCTGAGAGGGGGTGCTTTTCATCTGTCTTTTAAAAAAAATTACTCCTTAATGTATCAGATAAAGCATGGACTTAGTATTACTAGGCCTGAGAACAATAAAAATCTGTTGTATATCTCCATCAGAACCCTCAGGGGCCCAGGTTTGTCAATGAGTAGTAATATTTAGAATGAAATCTTTTCTGAGCAGCAAATATTAACAGTAAACTTAAAACATTTAGCAAACTATCATATATATGAATAGGATCTCTTTGATGCTTTTTCAGTTTGTTTTATAGAATAAAGGCTGAGTAAATTAGGAATTACTCATTTTTAAGGACCCTAGGATTCTCAGAATGGCAAATGAGAATGGCTTCATCTTTTTTTTTTATGGCCCTTTAAAACTTTGAAATTTATTGAGTTTTTTTAAATTTTTTTATTGTTGATTGTTCAAAACATTACAAATTTCTTGATATATCATATTTCACACTTTGATACAAGTGGGTTACGAACTCCCATTTTTACCCCATGTACAGATTGCAGAATCACATCAGTTACACATCCATTGATTTACATATTGCCATAGGAGGGTGGAAGAATTTCCAGTGTTGCTGAAAACTGGACGAAACTTCGGCTGAGAAACAGACTATACTTCGGAGCTGTTGCTGTTTCTGCTGCTACAGCTTAGGCTAGCTGCCTGCAGAACTTACCTGGACTGTGATTTAAGCTAGCTGCCTGCAAAACTTACCTGGACTGTGATTTACCTGGACTGTGAGTTAATCTATTGAGACACTGCTTTACCTGGACTGAGATAACAAACTGTAATCTACAACAAATTGTAACTCGGTATCTTTGCAAATGGTGTCATTGCTGGTATAATTTTTCCAAGGGCTTCTTGCATGGAGCCATCAACTGGCTTGGTATTGTGACATTTTGTATCCTCCCCTTCTGCTCATAGCAGATTATTTGTGGTGTTTATGTAAAAACCACTATGGTCATTATTTAAATTAAACAAAAGGGGGAATTGTTAGAGTCTGTAAACAAGTCTGGATGGCGCCTGGCAAAATGCCAGAGGGAGTGGTTTGTGAAGTAACGCCAAGGAGCCATTAAGTGTGGAAATTTCTTATTGGTAGACTGATGTATCTAGTTTATGCTAATTAGATAAGCTGTGTGGAATGTATAAATACTGCTCCTGTCCTGCAATAAATGGCTCCCACTCCTGCTATATCAACTTACACAAGTTGTTCGTCGTCACCCCCTGGTTATTTTGCTGCAGCCGGACTGCGGCAGCTCAGGAGATGTGAGCCACTTGGGAAATAAAATTAATGAGAATTAAAACAGCCAGAAATTAGATAGAAAGGGACCATCTGATGGGTCTTCGAGTCCTGATGGGAGCTGGAACTGAACCACCGAAAATAAAGGCTCTTATTCTGTACCTAAAGAGGAATACATCAAAGGAAGGGATAAGGTTTCAGGAGGAGTATTGATTCAGTGTTTGCTTGGTGCTCGCTTCTCTATGTGGCAAGGACCTTGCAGTAAACAGGTTGATTGGTATTTTGGCAAGCCACACCCATGTCTGAAAGGCTGTGTGGCTCCAGCAGGTCACCCCATCTCTAATGCTGTGCAGAACTTGTGATGGAGCTAGGTAGGAAGGCACATGAACAAGGTGTTCTCAAACCAGCAAGGTTGCTTCTGAGAGTTCCTGATACCAGGATTTCCTGCCTAATGGCTTCAACATCCTTTTAGTTCATGCACAGTTCATGGATGGCTTCCAGCAAGACAGCTAGTTTCCATCTTCTGAATTTGGGTGGTCTTCCCTGTTTTTCGAGGAAAATGGAAGTCGGCTCAGTAGTTCAGGCATATTGAAACAATCAGAAGGTAATCAAAAAATGATTTCAACCTAATTTATTGATTATACACTAGAAGATAGTTTTAAAAGTAAATTTCAGATATGCTGGGTCCAAATGCCTACTTATCAGTCAAATGGGAAGTATCTTTGATCTAAAGACAACAGTGTGTATAGAAGTAGATGCTGATTGCAAAGGTTGGTTCTGTTTGTGAATCTAGAGTGATTATAACAGTTGTTTTAACTTTAATACACAAATAATTTTGAGTTTGCTAAGTACTATATTAATTTCCAATTAATCTGCTTAAACCTCTGAATTTTATCTTTTACATTTCTGAGATGGGCACAGAGGATTCATTGACGACACTGTCCTCCTTTAGAACCCATGTTACAAAAACTAGTGATTATACAGGATTAGTTGCCAGTTGCCATATAGGACTATAATTCCAATCTATCAAACACACACACACACACACACACACAAACACACACACTTTTTTATCTATAAATATTATAAATATTTATAAATATTCTCTGTTCTAGATACAAACTTTTAGCACTGATCCTAACATTGATTGTTCCCTCCTTCTTTGATATAGAAAGTCTGCTCCCTCAGGCCTATGAGTCCCTGTATTTATTCCATGTTTTACCAGATTATGTTTAGCAATAAAGTTCTACCTGAATCTGATTGCTTTTTGATTTATTCACAGCAAAAGCTGATGATTACTGA